TTGCGTTATTAAAAGCTCTTTTCTTCATTTTAAATTTAATATTTTATGAAACTTATCTTTTTTTCCACAGCACTTTTGAGTTTTGAGCGTAGTTCTTTTTTCTGTTGATGTGCGCAATTTAACTTCTTCAGTACCAAGTACTTTATAATACGGTTTTATGTATTACGTTTAATTAAAAAAATTTCATACCACAATAAAAACTTTTATTTTTACTTGCTTTTGCTAAGAACGGGGTCGAATAAATGGTAAAAATATAGTTTAAACTAATTAAGTTCAAAATTATATCCAAGTACTTCACTACTCGACATTATTTGGCAGGTACAACTACTTTTGTTGAACACAAAATGCAGCCCTAGTGAATCTTGCGGTTACTATGGCAACCAACTACCGTTACTTCTATCAGCATTGTCAATTACTTGATCGATCAAATGACAATCATTCGCTACAGGGCCAAACTGACATTTACAATTTTGCATATGTGTTAGTTTTCGTTGTGAATGTGTTGGAGTTTCTGTCAACCCCCTGCAGAAAAAAATTATCAATTGATAAAAAATAACATACTTGTAGTTAGCTTTTTTTGAGGTATTTCTATAAAATATATAACTCGTAGTTAGCTACAAAAAGCTAACATGAAATTATTTGACAAGTGATTGTTTTATTTAAACGCGTTTCTATTTAAATATTTTGCTCTTCGCAAAAATTTTTTGTAATTGAGGAAAAATAAAGGAAGATCGAAATTTCATATCATCATTTTGAAGTTATGTCAGACGGAGTTCGAATATGGGACCACCTAGAGCATAATAAGTAAAGAAATATGAAATGTAATAAAATAAATAAAGTTAATAAATGAATTAAAAAATTAAAAAATTAACATTTTGTTTTTTCTATTGATATTTTATGCCCATCGCTTTCGTCAAAGAAAGTATACAGATAATAGTGACTTTTAGTTCCTTCCGTAAGGCACCAGCTGGGTTACTTGGCACACAGTTTAGTTTGACAAAAAAAGACAATATAAGTTTATAGTTACTTTCAAAATGGCTATTTAACTTATGCAATCTGTATGATTCACTTTGAAATTCTATGTTCACTCGCTTGACAATATCCAAAATATCTGAAAAAATAAATAACAAATTTTTATTGGTGCGGAATCAAGTTTTTCGGCAATAGCCCGCGCTTGGTTTACAGTTGTTGTTGTTGTTGTTGTAGCAGCATACAAACTCCCCAAAGAGTTTTTGGGGAGTGTTGCTGGAGTGACAGTCCTTGGCCAAATATAAATCTGGGTCGTTCCGGTTACGTAGACCCGACTGTCGTGGGAACGTGGTGGTGACGGTGTACGTCACATAGTGCGGTCGATTCCCAAAACTGCGGCCAAAATTCGAGAAAACAAAACATTGAGTTGGCTAAAGGGATCACCTAAGAGGCGAAAACTGTTCACTGTAACGACCTGTACCCTAAGTAGAGGTATTCATTTGTAGTGTAACCTTCTTCCAAGCACAAAAATATTGTAATAAAAAGCGAAAAAATTATTAACGCATAGAAGTCGTTAGAGAATAGGAAATCAAAAAAAAAAAACCAAATAGATTCTACGTCTGAAGGTTAGTAAAATACGGGAAAAAGTTTGTGAAAACTAATACTGTAACAGAAATTTGTAAGAAATAAAAATGTAAACGTATTTTTTCGTTTATTTTTAAACAAAATTTGAGTTGTTAAATGCAGCAGTAACAAAACACTGTCGAATGCTGCTTTTAAACCTATTAGAGTTTACGTAGGAAAGTATACAGAATAAAACAAAACTCAGGTGCTCATCTCTGCTCGTTATATATTTTTTTATTTTTTTGGCTATAAATCTGCATACTCAAAATCTTTGTAAGAAACTAATTAAAAAGCTCGAAATTTATCAGACGCCATACTGGATCCGCCATTTTTAATTATGTAATTCTGACAGCGGATAAGTAATTAGTGACCCCGAAAACCGCCTAGTACGAAATTTCTAATCATTTTTTCAAAGCTTCGAATTTTGGCCGCACTGTGTGTCATCGAAACAAGATATGAAAAATAATTGCAATGCGCTGCACTGGGACAGTAAACGATCACCATCAAATATTTGACACTCGAAAAATTTTATGATTTTTAACACCAACGTAGTTTTGAAACTGGGAAAATTCATCCACCCTTTTAGCACTATGTGTGAAGAAATTGTAAACATCTCTGGCAAGTTTTGCGAATTATACGGGAGTTTTTTTTTACACGATTCGAATCAAAATTTAAAAAGAAGTGTCCCTCCAAAATTCGTGGAAAAATTTATCAAAAATATATCCACTTGGATCAAAACGGTCACACTGGTTGTAAGCCACGCAGGATCCGCAAAAACCTTCGGATGCATCAGACTAGGCCGCGTATCCTTTGAAGTGCATCAGTTAATAACTTAATAAAGTTTTAAAGTGCCAATTGAGAAGTGCATGTGCAAAAATTTCGTACATTGCACAAAGGAAATTTTTGCATATGCAGCAGTACGCAGCATGCATTAAAACGCTTGGTGTTAGTAGTCTCGCCTAAGCAAATACAATAATGTACCGGTTTCAAATGTCTAGGAATTAGCATTAATTTTTTTCGCATTTGCTTCCATAAAAAGAATAAATACTATTTATTTTTATATGGAAGAAAACCATAACATCTTCGGCTACAAATTCCGGTAACACAGGCCAACAAAAATGGATGAAAAAAATTTGTCTTTTGCCTTCCACTTAGGCTTAAATTAAAGCTAAAACTCATGAAAATACCATCCCTGCAAATTGACCTGATGGTCACTTATAGTCATTTATTGAACAGCAAAAACTGATTTTGCCGAAGTTTGAGTACCTACCGCACTTAGACAAAAGGCGCTAGAACCTCCATTTAGGATTAAATTAATTCGACTACAACCCCCGAAAATACCATTCCGCTACCTTAACCCTAAGGTCACTTATACTAAACAGCAAAAACTGGTTTTTCGCTAATTTTTTTTCAATAGTACAATTTTCCATAATTTTTTTATTGTTCAAGAAATGACTATAAGTGATCATCGGGACAAGGTGCAGTAACGCATACGGATTACTTAGATACTTCAAAAAGTTAAGTTCGTATGCACTAGTTATCTCTGCGTACGATGAGACCTCATGGGAAACAACTAATTACAGCCTTGGCCTCTTTTTTGGCGGGCAGACATGCATACAATTTTGATATTTTTTGATAATTTTTAATTTTTTATATTTTTCAGAATATACATTTTTTGAACGTTGGCGTGTCAAATGAAAGCTTTTGGGTCTTTCTGATTGGCTGGAGCAGAAAGCTTTCCGATACAACTCTGCGTTGAACTGGTTTTCAAACGAGTTAAATGATTTAACTGGGTAAATTTTCCAACAACAATTGCATGCGATTTAACTTGTTTATGTTTTATGTGTTTTGTTCATTTAACGGGTTCAAGCCCATTTAACATGTTTAGCTCGTCAATTTGAACGTAGTATTATTCAGTGTTTTACAAAGTTTTAAACTTGGATTAATATAGTATTTGTGAGGGAATGAACTGTATTGTAATAGAAAAATCTTAAAAATTAATAAATAAATATAAGTGGCGTTTTGAATTTGGTCCAAAATGATATTGTCACTAGACGCGAATAAAGCCGCGATCTCAAAATTTAACCGCGAAATAGATGCATAAAAACCCTTCCGCGAAAAAAGACGCGAAAACTTCTTTCCTCGGTCAACTATGTTTTCGGGTGTAGTGAGTATGTAAATTCCCCAAAGAGTTTGTGGGGAATGATGCTGTAGAGGCAGTCCTTAACCCGATTTAGATCTATGTTTACACTTCTTTCTACTCCTAATTTTTTTACGCGTATTTGTTGGTCTAATTTTTTCACGCGTCCTTTTTCGCCGTCAAAACACTTACTTTTCCAAAGGTATGTACTCAAATAAAAATATGACCTTGTCCAAGAGAGTTAATTATTTTATTTGCCCCAAAGATGTTTATGTGATACTCACCTATTTTACGAATTATTCTGTACTTCCCACCGACAATTATTTCGGAGCGATTATCTTTCATAAGTCGTAGCTTCTCCATATTGATAAAAATATAGTATCTGTCAAGTATCCAATCCTAAGAAGAAAAGAGTAAAAGTATTTAGACATTTCCATGAACATTTAAATTTTAAAAATAAACCAACTTGTTCTTAACCATGTGGCCATAAAAAGTTATAGAAATATATAGATATATATAGGGGCAGCTTTTACTCATATCTCTCATGGGCGTTTTGTATTTTTAAGAGACAATTTAACTATAATTTTTAAATAAATATATGCATTAAAGTTGGAGGCCCATGCGGGGATTTGGTAATTTACTCCAGCGTGTCAGATTAACGCATTGGGTAAGTTACTTTATACAAATTACTTTATACAGAGAAAAAGTTGAGCAAAGCGGTGCGTTATTTTAATTTTACTGTACATAAATTATTTAAAAAATAAGTATGTGC